GTGGGTGCTATTTCTCGATTTGACCACTTCGGTCAAATCGAGAAGATGCCAGAGTCGCAACATGCGTGCCGGTTAGTTGGTTGTAATGGCTGGCTCGAACCGACAGTGTACGCTCGATCTTTGTTGCTTCGGCAACGAATTCGTCGACAGTGGTTGGAGGGTTGCGAACAAAGCCGCCGAAGATGTTGCTCTTCACGCCTCATCAGGGCACGCAGCTTTTCCTCGGTGGCCTGAGGGTCAGCACGGCAGCTCAGGCGGAGAAGGTCTTCAACAAAGCTGGTGACCGTTTCTGGGGCCGGGAGTCCTTATTTTCAGGAGGTCTTCCACTCGCTATCGTCGTTCCCGGTTCATGAAAGTCCTCTTAAAGGGACTACGAAATTACCTTTTTACTTTTGCCAGATAACTTTTACATTAAACCTTCAACGTTCACTGAATGCAGAACAGGCATCCGTTTTTGTCTCGGTTTATTAACCTTTACACAAACAAATAATGAAATATCGACTTTTTCGTTCTCTCCAACTGACCGCACAACAAGTTACGGCGCAATTTTGACGGTCGTGACGCACCCTGGCACAGGAACCGGTAGTTATCTCGGCTGTAGGAGAATGGGAGCGTTAGCGGCGGAGAGTTGGGGGTGCGCCGGTAGGTTTTACTGCGCTGATATCACCGATGTATTTTCTGAATTGGCGCCTCTCTTCGCCGGGATAGCCATGGACACATTTGTCCACGGGTCACGTGACGTAACTCTTCAGGCTAAATCTAGCGAAGAAACTGATTTGGTTCATAGGTGACGTGACACCAAGTCATGTGGCGTCATTTTCCCCACTAAATTTAGCGGGGAAATTGAATTGGTTTTTGAGGTTACGCGGCGTCAATTTTCCCGCTAAATGTTGCGGGGAATTTAAATGCTGTTCAGGTCACGTGACGTCAATTTACCAGCTAAATCTAGCGGAGAAACTGAATTTGTTCATAGGTGACGTAACGCCAAGTCATGTGACGTCATTTTTCTCGCTAAATTGAAGGGAACAACTGAATAGGTGTTGAGGTGACGCAACGTTAATTTTCCCGCTAAATGTTGCGGGGAATTTAAATGCTGTTGAGGTCACGTGACGTCAATTTTCCAGCTAAATCTAGCGGAGAAACTGAATTTGTTCATAGGTGACGTAACGCCAAGTCATGTTAGGTCATTTTTCTCGCTAAATTGAAGGGAACAACTGAATAGGTGTTGAGGTGACGCAACGTTAATTTTCCCGCTAAATGTTGTGGGGAATTTAAATGCTGTTGAGGTCACGTGACGTCAATTTTCCAGCCAAACCTAGCGGAGAAACTGAATTTGTTCATAGGTGACGTAACGCCAAGTCATGTGACGTCATTTTTCTCGCTAAATTGAAGGGAACAACTGAATAGGTGTTGAGGTGACGCAACGTTAATTTTCCCGCTAAATGTTGTGGGGAATTTAAATGCTGTTGAGGTCACGTGACGTCAATTTTCCAGCTAAATCTAGCGGAGAAACTGAATTTGTTCATAGGTGACGTAACGCCAAGTCATGGTACGTCATTTTTCTCGCTAAATTGGGGGAAACAACTAAATAGGTGTTGAGGTGACGCAACGTTAATTTTCCCGCTAAATGTTGTGGGGAATTTAAATGCTGTTGAGGTCACGTGACGTCAATTTTCCAGCTAAATCTAGCGGAGAAACTAAATTTGTTCATAGGTGACGTAACGCCAAGTCATGTGACACCATTTTTTTCGCTAAATTGAGGGGAACAACTGAATAGGTGTTGAGGTGACGCAACGTTAATTTTCTCGCTAAATGTTGCGGGGAATTTAAATGCTGTTGAGGTCACGTGACGTCAATTTTCCAGCTAAATCTACCGGAGAAACTGAATTTGTTCATAGGTGACGTAACGCCAAGTCATGTGACGTCATTTTTCTCGCTAAATTGATGGGAACAACTGAATAGGTGTTGAGGTGACGCAACGTTAATTTTCCCGCTAAATGTTGCGGGGAATTTAAATGCTGTTGAGGTCACGTGACGTCAATTTTCCAGCTAAATCTACCGGAGAAACTGAATTTGTTCATAGGTGACGTAACGCCAAGTCATGTGACGTCATTTTTCTCGCTAAATTGAAGGGAACAACTGAATAGGTGTTGAGGTGACGCAACGTTAATTTTCCCGCTAAATGTTGCGGGGAATTTAAATGCTGTTGAGGTCACGTGACGTCAATTTTCCAGCTAAATCTAGCGGAGAAACTGAATTTGTTCATAGGTGACGTAACGCCAAGTCATGTTACGTCATTTTTCTCGCTAAATTGGGGGAAACAACTAAATAGGTGTTGAGGTGACGCAACGTTAATTTTCCCGCTAAATGTTGTGGTAAATTTAAATGCTGTTGAGGTCACGTGACGCCAATTTTCCAGCTAAATCTAGCGGAGAAACTAAATTTGTTCATAGGTGACGTAACGCCAAGTCATGTGACACCATTTTTTTCGCTAAATTGAGGGCAACAACTGAATAGGTGTTGAGGTGACGCAACGTTAATTTTCCCGCTAAATGTTGTGGGGAATTTAAATGCTGTTGAGGTCACGTGACATCAATTTTTCAGCTAAATGTAGCGGAGAAACTGAATTTGTTCATAGGTGACGTAACGCCAAGTCATGTGACGTCATTTTTCTCGCTAAATTGAAGGGAACAACTGAATAGGTGTTGAGGTGACGCAACGTTAATTTTCCCGCTAAATGTTGCGGGGAATTTAAATGCTGTTGAGGTCACGTGACGTCAATTTTCCAGCTAAATCTAGCGGAGAAACTGAATTTGTTCATAGGTGACGTAACGCCAAGTCATGTTACGTCATTTTTCTCGCTAAATTGAAGGGAACAACTGAATAGGTGTTGAGGTGACGCAACGTTAATTTTCCCGCTAAATGTTGCGGAAAATTTAAATGCTGTTGAGGCCACGTGACGTCAATTTTCCAGCTAAATCTAGCGGAGAAACTGAATTTGTTCATAGGTGACGTAACGCCAAGTCATGTGACGTCATTTTTCTCGCTAAATTGAAGGGAACAACTGAATAGGTGTTGAGGTGACGCAACGTTAATTTTCCCGCTAAATGTTGCGGGGAATTTAAATGCTGTTGAGGTCACGTGACGTCAATTTTCCAGCTAAATCTACCGGAGAAACTGAATTTGTTCATAGGTGACGTAACGCCAAGTCATGTTACGTCATTTTTCTCGCTAAATTGGGGGAAACAACTAAATAGGTGTTGAGGTGACGCAACGTTAATTTTCCCGCTAAATGTTGTGGGGAATTTAAATGCTGTTGAGGTCACGTGACGTCAATTTTCCAGCTAAATCTAGCGGAGAAACTAAATTTGTTCATAGGTGACGTAACGCCAAGTCATGTGACACCATTTTTTTCGCTAAATTGAGGGGAACAACTGAATAGGTGTTGAGGTGATGCAACGTTAATTTTCCCGCTAAATGTTGTGGGGAATTTAAATGCTGTTGAGGTCACGTGACGTCAATTTTCCAGCTAAATCTAGCGGAGAAACTAAATTTGTTCATAGGTGACGTAACGCCAAGTCATGTGACACCATTTTTTTCGCTAAATTGAGGGGAACAACTGAATAGGTGTTGAGGTGACGCAACGTTAATTTTCTCGCTAAATGTTGCGGGGAATTTAAATGCTGTTGAGGTCACGTGACGTCAATTTTCCAGCTAAATCTAGCGGAGAAACTGCATTTGTTCATAGGTGACGTAACGCCAAGTCATGTGACGTCATTTTTCTCGCTAAATTGATGGGAACAACTGAATAGGTGTTGAGGTGACGCAACGTTAATTTTCCCGCTAAATGTTGCGGGGAATTTAAATGCTGTTGACGTCACGTGACGTCAATTTTCCAGCTAAATCTAGCGGAGAAATTGAATTTGTCCATAGGTGACGTAACGCCAAGTCATGTGACGTCATTTTTCTCGCTAAATTGAGGGGAACAACTGAATAGGTGTTGAGGTGATGCAACGTTAATTTTCCCGCTAAATGTTGCGGGGAATTTAAATGCTGTTGAGGTCACGTGACGTAAAGTTTCCAGCTAAATCTAGCGGAGAAACTAAATTTGTTCACAGGTGACTTGACATCAAGTCATATGACGTCATTTTCCACGCTAAATTTAGTGGGAAATTGAATTGGTGTTGAGGTCAAGTGACGTCAATTTTCCCGCGAAATTTAGCAGGGAAATTGACGTCACATGAATTGGTGTCACGTCACCTCTGAACAAGTTCAGTTTTAGAGCAAGGTTTCTGGGTTTCGCGGCGATGCCGCGAAACCCAGATACGGTCGCCTAAAAGCTGCGCTCTAAAATACGAAGAGGTAGCGTCGCAGGCGTCGAAGGTCGGCGGAGTAGCACGATTGAGCGCAAGAGCGAGACTGACTTGTACGACGCGGCGCAGCTTTTTTTAAGCCTTCCCTGAGACCTGGAATATTCTGCCTCGATCGTTCTCGAAGTATACATTCTGAACATGCATAGTCTGTACTCTTCGGCAACCCTCTCGAATCTTCTACGTTAAAAAAAAAAGAAAAGGACACGCGGTGCCGGGAATCGAACCGGAGCCACCTGTGTGGGAACCAAACGCGCCGCCGACTCTGCTACGTAAGCCCGACGAAATATCAAAGAGTACTTCTCTAAAAAATAGATTCTATTTATGCTTTTTTATAGTTTTCTTTTTACTCATGAAACACTGGTATAGACGCTACACACACGGTCTCTTGGATCGAGTTTAGCGAGTTCGGTGAGCGACAATAAAAATCACTTGAAGCCAGTAACAATAAAAGTTACTGGCTTCAAGTGACACTAAATTATGGGGATGGCAGCTTGGGTGAGTTGGATACTAAATGATCCAGTCGAACAGGCGCATAACTTTCAAGTCAAGAAGCCAGTCTCAAAACCGTAGCATTTCTCGCAAGGACAACTCCAACAATGGCACACTCCGGGGCTACAGGCAACTCACGTTGGCTATGACGACGATGATCAACCAGATGACAAGGATACCCTGGACCACGAGGACCATGAAATCAAACACTAGGTAAGGGAGGATGTAGTGTCGCTGATCCTACGAACAAAAAAAAAAAAAAAAAATATCGGCATAAAACAAAGCACTTTTAAGCTTTTTCATTTCTATAATTGTAAGAATTATGATCAGTTTATTTTGTCACAGCGCTTTTACACAGATGTGAACAGGGGGGCCAGGAAAAAAACACTTTAGGTTTGAAGCTTCACGGGTTGCAGCCCTCCAAAACACAGGGCAAAGCGGCACTGATATCAAAAACACGAAAGAGAAACAAAATGGAGATAACTTATCTAAAATGACATAATAAAATAAGTTGCATTTTAATACTCACTGAAATAGATAAATGTAGCAAACATAAAACAAAAATTCTCATTATTACAGGAAAGTTTGAATTTTACGGGCATTTAATGAAAGTTTACGAAGACTGACCTCAAAGCACAAAAGAAAAACACAATGAAGATAACTTATATTATAAGATGTAATATAAAATAAGTTGCATTGAAAATAGGTTGCTATAAAAAAAACACACTGACGGATATAATAAACAAATATAAGAAAAACATTCCTACTCAACATAGAAAAGTCTGAATTGTATGGGCATTTAATGAAAGTGAATCAACAACTTGGGAAAATATGTTGTTTAAGAGTGACGGTAACCTGTAACTCAACCTCTGAAAGCCAAAATTAGTTCTAGATGATGGGACGCACCGTAGATGCCCATGACGTGAAGGATATAATGATAATCAGCAGAACGTGAGGGCGCAAGTGCGCTGGTGTATATTAAAGGGAAGCTACGGAGCTTCTTGAAAAAAATGAGTTAGAAGTGAATTCTAGTGTATTTTTACCTCGTGAACCCGAATACCAAAACCATTTGCCGCGCAAGTGTTTTTAAAGGCGAGAAAAACGCGAAAGACTGTTGCTGTCCGTGACGTCATCGACGGATCTTTTGGCTTGCCAAGGCTAGGGAGGCGGGGCTTCAGGCCTTTTTTCAAATTGCTCCTATTGCTCTCCGGCGCGTCGCATTGAAACATAATTGTGATATTTGCTATTCTAAAGGCCAAATGAATGCAATTCAAGCGTTTTTTCTCAAATGTAGAAGTGCCCCATCTTCCCTTTAAACATTTTAGTGAAAAACTCTAGACTGCGGTAATGACAAAGGACGAATTACTGCAGTCTCAGGTTTTTCACAAAAATATATAATGATACATTATTTTCACGTTTGGCGAGGTCTAAAATAATTGTAATATGTTTTCTTAAAAGGTAACTGCAAAGAAAAAGATGTGTTTTTAGACAGCCTCATTGGGACAAGCATCTCAAAACAATTTTTCCCCTAAAAAATAATTTTTACAGCAATATTTATTGCGCGAGACTGATTTTAGTTTGAGGCTATTTCGTCCATTTTAAATCGCGCGCCACAAAGTGGCCATTATACGGCACGGAGTGGCTGCTAGTGCTACACGTCACGGAGCGACGTCCCATAGCAACTTGTCTCATTGGCTAAGAGTTTGATTGACAGTTTAGATCTTGGTTTTTAAACCTTTGTTATATGTTGTAATTTCCTTCTGAGAGGCATACTTTTACGTTTAAAGAATAACCTATGTAATTAGAGTCATAATTCTTTTGAAAAAGTTTACAAGACGGGCACTTCCGTTTGGATTTATACCAAATGGAAGTGCCCGTCTTGTGGTTGGTGGTTTTGTGGTTGGTGGTTTTTGTGGTTGGTTTCTCTTGTGGTTCGTTTTGTGGTTGGTGGTTTTTACTTTGCGGCTCCGCGAAAAAGGTGACTGAATAAACTTCCTAACTGAAGTGAGAACAGCAGGGCGTCTTTTGAATGGCTGGCCTCCAGCACGCACTCAATGTCTGCCGCCGTGCTTTGGGCGCTCAAGCACGCTCGAGGTTCACAAGCTGTCGGAGCACTGTCAAAGGTAGAAAGCTCGCACTGGAGCCGGGGACAACTGAAGATCTCTCCTCCCTGCCGTTCTATCCATGTCAGCTGCTTCTTTTTTCCCTGCCTATTTAGGCTTCCTTTATCACAGCCGAGTCTCTGGTTAACGTTATCATCGTTTCAAGAAAAGTTTGTACCGCAAGATGCGATTGCCAAATCCGAAAGCTTGACTATACTTGGTTTCATTTCAAGTTCAGGCGCAGCTGATGCTACGACCTGATGGGGCCAATCAGATAAAAAAAGCGAACCATCACTGTGCTCATCATGTGTCTGTTCGTGTTCTATCATCGCCCAACCCATCGTAAACAGAAAAGGCCCCGTGACGCAAGTTTTGACGCTAATTGATTCGTCCTACTGGCTCGTAGCGTCTGTTGCGTCTGAACGTAAGCTGAAACGAAGTATACCAAACTTTTCCAGAATTTTTTGTTTTCTGTGTACAGTCATGTCTCGTTGATATGGAACTCGTTAATATAGATACCTCGCTATATGGGCACCATTCTAAGGGACAAAATGGGAAAAAACGTGCATTTCTGTCTCGTTATTATGGACAACTCATTCTGGACGGTGTTTTGGGGATCGAAGGTGTCCATATTAACGAGACATCACAATCTTCCAAGGGGAGAAAGAAGCACCTGCTCCTATTAACTATAAGAAGGAAAAGCAGTCACAACGGGTAGAGAACTGTTACTTAACAATCATATTTTTTTCCCTTTTTGCGCCGTCACTTTTTGCACGGCTTGGCAGAATGAGATCAGGGCTGTCAGTCAACGTGGCGAAACTTGGAGTTCAAACACCTCATACAAATCATGGTCTTAATGCACTAAAGTATGAAATTGTTTCCTTCATTGAACGAGTGTTTACGTGTACATGAGCCATCATTTATCGGTACTCTCATTTCTCAAAGAAACGAAGAAAAAATAACTAAAACCGTTTTAGGTCCGGAGTATTCTTCTATCGCTAGCAGCTCTAAGCTTCATAAAAAAAGAAGCTGCTGCAAGTGGTTTTTTTTAGACAATGTTTTTTTTTTTCTTTAATGTGTGTTGGGCATCAGCACCCCAGTTTTTACTCAGGACGTTTTTCCTTTTTGTAATACAAAAAAAAATGAAAATAAAGGGTCTTATTTTTTATATTACTATTAATATGAAATCTGGCTTTCCTGAAGCTCAAACGGCAAAAAGCAGGAAAGGGATGCCTTACCGTGTAGGCACCCCTGACACAGAGGCTGGACACAATGACCCCAATGACGCCGATGACGATGTAAGCGACGAATTCCCCAACCTTAACTGCAGAGAATGCAACAAACGTGTTAGCACAACCTAGAGGGTAATTCTGACGCGTGTTTATTTAGAAAACAGGAGTTAGTCATCCTCAGTGGGTGCCTGGTGTCGTCATTGCAATCAGAAATTTAATCAGTGCAGCACCACCGCTAGCCAGGGGTCCTTAACGTGCATCCCGCAGTAGTGATACGTGACGACATGCTAGAACGATACTCGTCCAGATCAAAACGGGAAGGGGTGGGGATTGAACACAGGATCCCAGGGTTCTGCAGTGAAAAAACTTTGGCTCTACGTGCCCCGAGCTGCACATCGTTAACATGCTCGGAAAACCGGTGCCTTGGCAACACCCGCTTGGACGGGCCTTTGTCCAAGCATTTACGCGTGCCTAGATTTTTATGCATGCACGATTCACAAGAACCAAACAATTTAGAAAACACATCTGCGACGTAACATCTTGCTTTCATCTTTCGCACGAAAACCGCTGGCTTAGAGTCGGCTGCGGGGGGCTCTGCTCGCTATTTGTCTTAGTCAGGTGCGAACAAATATATGATTTGTGGCATATCTTCATTTAGAATTACAATATTAATAATAATAACCTATATTATACAACTTATAACCATTGAAACACGAGAAAGAAAATAGAATCCAAGTTATTCCTATTAACTCTCAGCATCTCTGACATTTGACTTGCTAAGTTTTTCTCAGAAATCCACCCTTTTTGAAGTCATGGTTCCAGAGGTTGTGCAATGAAAGCAGATGTTTGCGTTGCATGGATTCACGAGCGACCAAGACAGACTTTTAAGCCAGAGGCTCGTGCCGCAGCGCTCCTGGTGTGGATTGTACGTTCTCTGCCCGAACACCTCGGACTGGTGATTTCCGAGAAAGGTGGAGTATGCGACTCTGCAGCAAGCAGCCTCTTTGGGTAATATTTTGGGAACACATACTGTATTGGGCTGTCCTCTAAGGGCCTTGGCAAGGGGCTGTCACGAAGCTCACCTCTGTCGCTCCGATTAGCTCGAGGGGTTCGCCGCGTTCGCTTTTTGTCAAGTTACGGCAAAATGAAGTAGAGATCTTTTTACTGTTTACGAACGCAAGCCATCTCTTCCGCCCCAAGAGACTTCCAGTCGCGTTGTTTCGGCAGGCTTTCCGAGCCTGTTGATGTCAATATTTTTGAGACGATAAAATGCCCAAGTTCTGTAGAACTTGGGGATTTCTTTTGTGCTATAAAACAGATACGAGGAGATTGGTCGTCTGACAGGAGTTTTCGAATCTACAAATATCGCGCTAATTAATCCTTTAGCTGATCATCTGGTGAACTCAGACTTGTGCCTATCTCGAATTCTCTACTCAACATACTGTATTTCAAATACTTTTTGAAGTATCTTAGTGTCTTAATTGCAAATACTTTTGACCGAGAGTACTTGATACTATATCTTAATTACATTTCTGAGTAAGTTGTACTAATTATCTCAAGTACATTTTTGACATTCCGCCACTTTTCGTGTTTTTCGGTATGAAGTGGCGTGAGCGTGGTACGAGCAAACGTGAACATTCTTTCGAGCAACCAAGTCATGTAGCTAGCTCCGATTAGGTACGGTGACTTTGGTTGAGCTAGTGAAGAAAACATCGCTTTTTTGCCGATTGTGACTCATATTTAAGTCCAAAGTTCGTACAATGAAGGTTTCCCCCTCGCCTTGCCAAAGGCGCCTTTTGTTTCTTAGAGTTTCCCCAAACAATCCTCATACAAAAGGGGCCCGTTGGTTTTACGGAAGTAAGGATTTCCCCTCTGAGACGAAACGCAGACCGGTAAACGACCTACGACAACAATGCAGACTTGAGTGTCGAGAAAATAACAAATAAGAAAAAAAATGAGAAGTGTACCAAAAAAAAATAAAGACATTTTTGTTTTGCTTGGTGTATATTTGGCCCCGCCACTGCAAAACGTCTAGGCTTTCTTTTGTTTATTTTCTTTTTGTCGTCAGTCCGTCACTGATTGCTCTCGCGAACACTGTCTGTGAAAGCAAACATCCATAAGCAGAGAACAGGACAGGAAACGAACTAAAAGCTGAATGACCTCTCAAAATCCCAACAGAGCGTCCCCCAACGCTAAGTGCCTTTCTGTACGCAACCTACTCGAAGAAGGTGCGACCACTGCCGTGGCTAATATGTGGGTTCTCTTTGTTATCCATCCACTCATATCCGTATCCCAAGTTCGTTTATAATGAACTCCCCATAAGGGGAATATGTATTGTAGTTAAACGATGCGTCTAAGGTGCACCGTAGGACATGATATTCAGCGATGTCACTAGCGAAAGCTTGCGCTGGGAACCTCCTTGGTTCGATCGCCACAGCCCCCGCCCGTTTCGATCTGGATGAGTTTCGTACCGGCACACGTTCGTGTAATCACTACTGCGTGATGTACGTTAAAAACCCCAGGTTAGTGGTTGTACTGCACTGGCTAAATTTCTCATCTACAGCTAAGCAACCGGTTACCCGTTGAGGCGTACCAACATCAAGGCTGTATAAACATATAAAAGGAAGCCAATTTTTTTTTTGGTTCGGAGTTACTTTTGTTTTATCGCTCGATTCTGCTGTTTCGCCAACATCGACGCCTGCGACGCTAGCCTTTCTCTATTTTGTTTTGGGCACAAGTTAGCCCCATTAAACGTTTAGTTTCTTCAGTCATTCCCCCCCTCATCATTTGTCATTCGTGACAATATTCTGCTCCTTAAAATTGGACTGCATAAAATAGCCGTACAATTCTTTTTTGCCGGTTTGTGTTGTTGCGCGCTAATAAACCATTCTGGTAAACCAGATTTGCGCAACACTATAACTGTCGTTGTCACTGACATTGATTCAAATTACGCAATGCGGAAGTATCTTCAAAAGTACTTGAACTACATTTCTAAGCATTTGTATCCTACTCAAGATACTTTACAGTGAAAGTAACTGAGTACTATTTTAAATACTTTATGAAGCAGGTATTTAGTAGTTTAACTTATATACTTGTATCGAGTATTTTGTTCAACACTGGTGAACTAGTCATGAAATATTTCATGAACGTTGCAGAAAGCGGTGCTATGGTGCCGGTTGTTTATCCTCATTTGATCGGAAGTTCGCGGGGGCGTAAATTGCCCCATTGACAAAAGCGCCTTATTCTGGTTCATTTAATAAAAGGGTCTAAAGAGCAATCTCGCCGCACAAGTGAAAACGTGCTTACCTTCCACCGAGCTTTTAATCGAGGGTAAATCGTCAAAGACCTCCGCGACCTCCTTCTGGTAAACCAAAAACGTCGCATAGATGATGATGCCAACCAGGGCGTCCATCTGGAAGAAAAGAAGGGAAAGATCAACAATAGAGATCTCGGAAATACCTAAGCCATGTTGACACTGGCCATGTACGGTGTACGCTGCATGAATAAAGAACAAATTACCTGTACACATGCGTCAAGCATGCTGAAGCATGTTCGCTTCATACAGCTGTATGCTTTGCACAAGTTTGCAGATCTTGAGCTAGGTACGTTCAAAGTAAACGCTTCACATTCACGGGGCACGGAACAGGCATTGCGACACCTCTTCCATGGGCGTAGGGCATACTTGGGTAAATTACTGCAGACATTTCAAAGAACCGATTAATTTTAATGCAGCAAAAATAAAAGTATGCTTTCTGAAGAACTTCTATTTAGCATTGTACCGTTAAATCCGTAGAGGTTTCACGACGCAGGTTGAGCCCTTTGCAGTTTCAAAAATTTTATATTAATGGCCATGCGCTTAGTTCCAACATGCTCTGGTGAATCATATATCATCGACCAGGGCAGACTCATAGCTACATTCGTCTGCATTCCAAAGAATATTTAAAAATAAAAATGCCAAATGAATATGGACAGTGGGAGACCTCACGCTCTAAAGTAATTAAGTTTTATAGTTTTTCTTTTAAGGTTTAGAGATAAAAAGAAAAAAAAAAAAAACAGCCGTGAAAGCTACACTTTTGCGGTTTGTGCGGTTGAGTTATACGGCCAGGGGACATAATATAGGGGATATTCGTAACCACCAGTCGGTTGATTAAATATAATTTGTTAATTAACTTTTTTATTAGTTAAAATAGACTAGATTCCAATTAGAAACTTGCCTTAGCGTCATCAAAAACCACTCAATCAACTGTTTTTAGGAAGATACAAGGCAGGAGCATCATTTTACGGCATTCTGAAAGAACGCTCAGTTTCAACGCGTTTCTAGGTTTCGGTTTCTTATCGGAGTGCACCTTTGCGCCCGCGGTCCTGCCACCAAGTAATTGCGGCACGAAGCTACGGCCTCGCTTTCCTCATAGGATGGAGAGAACTATGTCGCAGGTGTGTTGCGCGTCTCGGCCACTAGGGAGCAGGACAGCAGGCGCAGAAATGCGCTTCGATAAGAAACCGAAACCTCTGCCTTATCTTTCTAAAACCTGTTGATTGAGTGGTCTTTAAAGACGCTCAGCAAGTTTCTAATTGGAACATGTCTATTTTCACTTCTAAAAAAGTTAAGTAACACATTTTACTTAATTGGTCGACCGATCGTTACGAATAGTCCTATGTACCTCTGGCCGTATAACTAACCTGCACAGTCCACGAAAGTGTAGCTTTCACGGCTTTTTTTAAAACAAATTTGTGAAGTTAAAAACAAAACAGAGAAACCTGTACATGTTTATAGACAGGCGTAAGTTAGTCAACACCAACGTTCATCTGGACACTCAGCTCTACATGAAACTTTTAACCAGTACAGTACGACAGCTAGCCTGGGGTCTTAAACATGCACTATGCAGTAGTGGTACACGATCGCACGCCGGTACGATACTCATCCTGATCAAAACGGGCGGGGGTCTGGATTGAACCCAGAATTTCTGGGTTCAGCAGCGAGAATTTCCGTTGCACGTGCTCAGATCTGTGGTGCGCTAGCAGCCTAGCACACAAAAAACAAGCAGAGTGGCCATAACTGGATTATATTCCAAATAGACGAGAAAGAAACTAAACCATTTTGAAAATTCTATGAAGCACCAGTGGTGGCCGCCACGTTTGGGCATTTTCGGTTGCCACGTTCGAAAGTCATTCCGATGCCGTGTGTCACGGGAACTTCGAGAGGGGCGCGGCGAAACATGGGGCGCGTGGTCACTGTAATGGACCTCTTTCCAGTAAGCAACTGCGCGTGCGTTCTGCCTTGCCCTTGCTTCCGTCCAGCGCCGCTAACGTTGTCGGCACCCATTAGCCATTAGTCTTTGTATTGGTAATATGGATTTGGGCACTTTAACTTTCCACGACATGCGCTATATATTTGTGTATGCGATCATCATTTTGGTTTCACGTTTTGTATTCAGGTGAACTTTGGTTTGTGCGCCTATGAACCGTGCGATGTTTATATACTGTGTAAGTTCTCTTTTGTGCATACTTGCCATTGACCAGTGTAAGTGGCACGAGGTCCAGTCAAGCTGCCTACTGCTGCTTTTTTTTTTTTTTTCCTTTTGAGCCTCATGTCAAAATCGACGGAAATCAAAGTTAATCTGCTGCATCCAAAACCGGCGACGCCCGGGACTGGCTCTCCGAAGACAACAGTATGTGGAGCGCTCAGAGGTTGGAATTTCCATCGTTCGCCGAGTCGGAACCCCTGCGCTAAATGCTAACACATTTCGTCGAGAATCAGCGTAGCGATAGCAGCAGTTTCCGCATCACTTTTTTGCACTTTCGTTTTTTTTATAATTTGCAGTGTGGGGCTTAAGAAGCAATGCAAACCGACAAAAATGGCAAGCCAATGTGTTCTTACGGGCGGAATGATTGTTGCTGTGTCCTCCTCCGCTGGGTTTGGTGGAGGTGAGGACAGACCTTTGACCGGCTGTTTCTCATGGAAAAACATTTTTTTACGAATTTATTTTTTACGTTTATATATCGCACGTTTTTTTTAAGCGTTTGAGACCATAAGAACAGTAATGGAGGCTGGGGTTGTCAGTGGCCTTTTAAAATAAAACGTCTCCACTCAAAACGTGCTCTTCACCACCACAAATTGTTGCGTAGCAACTCTGTCTTTATTAATTATTTTTTACCTTTCTTTTTTTAGTTTTCAGAACTGTTGCAGCTTAGCACACATATAGGTGGTATTTCTTGGACGCTATGTTGGAGCGCGTTGTTCAGAACGAGCTTTCATTTTTCTGTACACAGCGATTTATACGCCCTGGCCCCTTCCCCGAAACGGACCCTAAAGGCTGTGCCAAACACTCAGTCTTGGGTAGTAACGCGTTACTAGTAACGCGTTACTGTAACTTAGTTACTTTTTCGGTAACTTGTAACTGTAACGAGTTACTTTTTGAAAATGTAACTTGTAACTGTAGTTCTATTACTTTTTTCTGAGGTAACGATGAAAGTAACGAAGTTACTTTTGCCGTTACTTTTCAGTTCTTTGTGAATAATATATCATTAAACGAGTATAATCTAGCTATTCCTTGCACTTTCCAAAGTGTCTGTTCCGTCATTTTGAGTGTCAGTTGGCCTTGCACAAACTTGAGAATACGTTCTTTCTCGCGAGTCACTAACCGAATATAGCCACGTGTAGATTTGATGAAGAAAAAAAAAAAAAAAAGAAGAATGTAGTTATCTTTACGCACTTGCTTGTACTTTGTGACTGAACACTTACATCTTAGTATATTGAAGCACTACCTATGTTGCGGTTTTTTCTTTTCTGCGCACGCATTTTAATCGGGTGAATCAACCGTGAAACAACAATACACGCGGAGGGAACTTCGTATGTTTCGTATTTTGATTAGTGCCACTACTCCGCACTGCGCATGTTTTGTATATTGATTTGCGCCACTACTCCGGCGTGGTTTCAGCGGTGGAGGCAAAATTTACTGTTGTTTGCGCAGGGCTTGTTTCGGGTTTGCCGGGTACGAACTGAAATATATAAAAAAAAGTCCACGAACACAGCGCAGCCGTCAACGAGCCAGCAATGTGCTAGTGCTACAAGGATAGGAATGTTGATGAGAACAGAACAAAGAACAAGCATGGCCGGCGTACAGAGTATTTTTCTGTGGTGAAGTTGGTTGCTAACTATTTGACCGCAGTATGCAAACTTTGCAACAAGGAGTACTCCGACAATAAGTCTTCGTGTTCAAATCTGAGAAAACACATCCAGTTCAATTTTTGTCTTTATTCTTTTCATAATATTGACTAATTTTCCAGCTAAATTATTAAGTTTGAATTTACCGCTATGGTGAAAGCCTGACTGATTCGTGTCTATATTTTTTCTTTCAAACATTAGTTTTTCCTTAATTTTTGTGTCATATAAAAGTAACTGAAAAGTAACGTCGTTACTTTTTGAAAGTAACTGTAACTGTAACGAGTTACTTTTTTGTTGCGGTAACTGTAACGGTAACTTCGTTACTTTTTTGTGAAAGTAACTGTAACTGTAACGAATTACTTTTTAAAAGTAACTTACCCATGACTGCAAACACTACAACAAAACTTCGTACACAAGGTGCACCAACCTCCCACGTGCGATCATCATCGACGTGTCAGTATCCGCCGCACGGGGGACGACATGTCGGACGGCTGCAGCCATCGGCAACGCGGATTTCGCGAACTTCGCTGACGTCCCCCGAAGACCGGTCCACTCGCCAGGATCGTTCACCGCACTCTTAGAGACTCTTCGAGAAAACGACGGCGAGGAATCCGGCGGCCGTGATTGGCCAGTGCAGCGCTTGACCTTGGCGCCGTCCAATCAGGGCGGTGGAATTCCTCGCCGACTTTTCCGCCAAGTGTCCAGATCAGAGCCCCTGGGTGGCGCAGAACGGAACCACGCTTGGCGAGCTAGTCCGCATGCACGTGTCTCGAACTGTCGTGGGCGGGTCGTGTACGTCAAAACTTTCCGGTGTCGAACCGGTCAGTTTTGACCAGACTTGAAAAGTAATCCGTTACAAGTAACGGATCACTAATATCTGTTACTTTTTCGTATAGGTAATTTTGTAATTACCACGTTACTTTTTTTCGGAAGTAATTTGTAATGTAATTTTGTTACAAAATATTCGTAACGGATTACTTTAATTACTCGTTACTTTATAAAAATATGAGCATACTACCATAACTGGAGCGATACGAGCAGAACATTCAGCAGCATAAAGAGAGCAGGTTCAAAAAAATAGAAAACATCAGGAAGGGAAGAATAGCCGAAAAGAAAACACGATTTTTTGTATGACCGGTCACTACACTCTCAGAAAAAAAGGAGCCAAGTGAGCAAACAAGGGTTCTTTTCGCTAAAAAAGAACCGATTTCGGGGAAGATCCCTATGAAGCGTGCTTTCTCAACCAA